ACGAACCGTGAGATCATGACCTGAGCCAAAGTCGGACGCTTAATGGAGTGAAGCCACCCAGGCACTCCCAGACTCCTCGCTTTTATAAAAGCTGCTGGGTTTGGTACCTAGCTTTCACACAGGCACTAAAATGTCACCTGACCTCAAGTAGGGTTCTGAGTGAGAGAAAAGAATGAAGTTTACCACTTCCAGTCAGAAGTAGAGCTTGCTAGAGGGACTCTCCCCCCACACCGCCAACCCATCAGGCACATGCGCGTGCGCGCGCGCGCGCACACACACACACACACACACACCATCCACAAGACCAAACACAAAGTCCCCATCCTTAGATCTTCCCCTTCTCTTCCTCAATTGCCATGGAACCTCTCCCTAGTTCTTTTTATCCATGCCCACAAAGGCGAGAATTAGTGTCCCCCAGGATGAGTCTGCTCTGCTCCAGTATCATCCCCTCTCACCCTGACAAAAGTGATCTATGGAAGAGTCTTTGTCCAAGAGATGGGTCATTCAGTGCTACTTACAGAAAATGCTAGGGGCGCCTGGCTGGCTCAGTCAGTAGAGTGTGTGGCTCTTGATCTCAGGGTCATGAGTTCAAGCCCCATGTTGGGTGTGGAGACTACTTCTAATACAGTACAATACAATACAATACAGAAATTGCTGAACGCCTCTCCACCCTGGAAGCCAGGACACTGGATGGCCTTGGGAGGTGTGAACAGGAAACAGAGAACAGCATGGACACCACTGACCTGCCTGATGATGGTGGTTGTTTCCTACTGACACAGAAGGATCTGTACTGATTACCCCCGCTCCCTAGAGCTCCTTGTAACCAAAGCATCCTTTTCTGGGGTCCTGGGTCACCGGGAAAAGGGATGGTCTATGGCTGAGGCACAGAGCACACCTAGCTGGCCATCGAATCTATGCCCTTGGGTCTCATTAGCACATGATGGGTATGCTGGCTCTCCCATGATGTGTCATGTTTTCAGTTACACTTCAGGGGTGAAAATACTCGAATTGCCAGGTTTTCACTGAGTCTGGCTTCCATCAGTTTATTTGAATGGTTGTTAGCATCGTTCATGCCTACCTCACAGGAACTGTTCAGGGACACACACAAACGAGGATGTCTGAAGGACATTAGAGAGTGAGGACACATCTTACCTGTCTGTTCCAGACACTGGAATCCCACCCTGCACAGTGTGTTATCCATAGAGGAAGAAGCACCCTTCATTGCAGCCATGGTCAGGCACACAGCTCTGGCCAGAAGGACGGTTGCCCGCAGCCCGAGTCCCACACGGACAGGCCAATGGGCAAGTGGGGCAGTGGGAGGCCCATTGCCTAGACGCATGTCATCAGTAAGCTGACAATGGTGAGCTTCTCTTACCCAGAGATGGGCTTTCTCGGTTTATGAAAGGGTCAGGACAGGGGTTTGTCCATTCGAGACTCACCGGGAACCTTGCAGTCTTCAAAGATTAGCTCGCAGGTGTTAGAGCCCCTCATCCCCAGCTTGTCCAGCTTCTTGGAGGTGCTGAAGCCAGGCATACCCTTTATAGGAACAAAAGGTGGCCTGATTACAGACCAGTCCCCAAGGAAGGCTAGTAAAAGGCAGACTCCTGGGAAACGCCTGCCTTCCCATCCAGTCCCTGAATTTGTACAACACACTGCATCCTACTCTCAGGGCCCCCACTCTGTATGACTGCTCTACTCCTTGACGCTCTGGCCCTAACACCCCCCCACCCCTGCTGCTAGGTGCATTCTCCCCACTTCTCACCGGAGCAGTTCTTTCTCAGTGAAACACTCACTCCCTGGGTGCTCCCTGACCTTTGCTGCCTTTGTTTCCTTTCCTCAGGGGAAAGCACTTCCAAGACCCTCTCTGCAGCCCACTCAATTCCTTTGCCTCTGTACCCGAGTCCCACCCAGGATCAATTCAGCCATCTATGTGCTTTGGCCTGGCTAATCAGATTCCGAGTGCATTGCCCAAGTGACTAGCAGAGAGTGTTGGATGGGCAGGCTGACAGGAGTGGTGCCACAGGACCTTGAGATTTCCAACCTCAGCCAGCCGTTTGGACCCTCACTTTTCCTATTCTTCAAACCTGGTCAGCCCCTTCTCTGTGGAGGGTATTGCAAACCTTTAGGATACTCATTCATGGGATTCTCTCCCCAATCCTCCACTCCTGTGGTTCCCAGCCCTCACACCTTGAGGTCATGAGGCAGATGGCTCCTCCACCATCACCTGTAACCTGGCCTTACCTCTTTCTCCTGGCTCACAGTTGGGCCTTGCTCACCTGCTCCCACACACTTCAATGTCTCCCTCTCCTCTTTTCCTTTCTCTCTACCAAATAATTTGCTCAGTTCTCTCCCAATCTTCAAAACAAACTCAAAAGCCCACCTTTTCATTCCAACTCCAGCTCTAGCTCCCCCCTGCTTTGCTGCAGTCTTCGGTCACCGCCCCCCCCCCCCCCACCTGCATTCTCATTCATACTGTGGTCTCCAGAGCTGCTCTCCCCAAGGCCACCAATGACATCCTCGTTGTCAAAGCCAGTTGCCTTTCAGTCTTCATCTTCCTGGACTGCTTTGTGTGGCCTAGCTCTACGGAAGGCTCCACCATTCTTTGACTTGACCCATCCTGGGCTCCACTTTGGCCACCCTCCTTTCTGTCAGCTCTTCTGCCTCACCCCCGCCTCAGGGAGCCTTGGCAGAGCACATGCTGGTTGTGTCTGCCACCAGCTGAAGGGAGCCATCTCTGGTACCGCCGTCAGGAGACAAAAGCCTCCCGTCATGCACTGTCCTCCACTCACCTTCTCCACGATAAAGGCCGTGATCCCTCGAGAGGCTGGCACAGCAGCCAGATCAGTCTTAGCATAGACAATAAGGATGTCAGCGTCGGGGCCATTGGTGATCCAGAACTTGTTGCCATTCAGGACGTAGTGATCGCCTAAGGACAGGAAGTTGGCTACTTGCTCAAGCCATGGTGGCCTGTCTCACCACTCAGTTCACGGACCTGCTGCTGGGAAACAGTTCTGGAAACCCAGCAGGGGCCACCCCTGGTTACTGCTCCCTCACCCTGAGGAGGTCTGTCTCTCTGTCCATTTCAGCTCCCACTCCAGAAGCTCCCAAGAGGTGCCTCACCTTTCTTTTCTGCTTTTAGCTTCATGGAGACAACATCAGAGCCAGCGTTGGGCTCACTCATGGCCAGGGCTCCTATGTACTCGCCGCTGATCAGCTGCAAGGGAAACCGCAAGGGCTGGTTATGACTCAGAAGTGCCCTACAGGAGCTCACTTGTCCTGCTTTCACCTGTGCACATGACACCCCTTCAAACGCATCTCAGACCAGGTATTGGTAAAGTCCTAGAAGAGAAGCCCACCGTCTACAAAACTGAAAATATCTCTGCTTTCCCATTCCCTTCACAAGGGAAGCAAGTCCTGGTCTTGCATTTCTTAGAATGCTCTGCAAATGTTGTCCAGGGACCGACTCAGGACTTCTGGTCCTAGTTTTAATTCTTCTTACCGAATTATTTTAAAGCAAATCCCTGACCCTTTCCTCACTGTACCCGGTTGAGGGCAGCACACTGTAGGGAGCAAGTCTGACCGGCCCTTGCCGACAGGGGAGGGTGCCTCAGTGTTGGCGGTGGCGCTGTGACACTGGCGTGTTTCTCCATTCCCATCTCCTCACCTTGGGGAGGTACTTTTCCTTCTGGGCCTCATTTCCATTGCGCACAATTTGGTTGACGCAGAGGTTGGAGTGAGCGCCGTAACTGAGCCCCACTGCTCCAGAAGCTCGAGATATCTCCTCCATCACCAGAACTTGTTCCAGGTAGCCCAGGCCAGAGCCGCCATACTGAGCTGGGAGTGGAGGTGATGCAGTAGAGTGGAAAAGGTAGCCCAGATTAAATTGGGATGTTCACAGGAATGATTATTGGCAGCAAAGAACATACTCTGCAGCACCCATTCCCAGTTACCCCTAGTAAGGTTGACAGGCTGATGCCGTGGGCTCTGATTTACAAGCTCTCGGAACTGGTTTTGTCTGCTGCCTCTGGTCAGCTGAGGCGTGGTTCAGGAAATAGTCATTACAATGCCTGCATTATCCCAGACAGACCACTTGATGAAGACAAGAGAGCCTGAGCACCCGCTACTTGGAAGGGCAGATGAATAAATGGAAGAGGACCTGGAGTTAACCAAGAAACACAGAGAGGGAGGGTCAGAGCACTAAGAATAGGTCCCAAGCAAAGAATACCATGTGCAAAAGGCCCGAGGAAGGTGAGATTTCATAGCACAGGTGTTTAGACTTAACAAAGCAGGATTATCAAATCGATATATTGAACGCCTTAAGCTCACACAATGTTACAGGTCAATTATATCTCAAAAAAGTTAAAACAAAACAAAAAAGCAAAACTAGTATCCGGGAGGACGAGAGCCACAGCTAGTGAATTTCAGAACTCCTCACCAAAAAACGTGGCTTTTCCTTGGCAACTGATCCCAAATCGACAGGTTTGGACCATCTGGTGCTACCACCCTCCCACCCCCAGCCTTGCTCTTTGGGTAAATCTTGGTAAGACTCTTTGCACACAGGAGTGCCCGGCTGGCTCAGTCAGTGGAGCATGCGGCTCTTGATCTTGGGGTTATGAGTTCGAGCCCCACGACAGGTGTAGAGATGACTTTAAATAATAAGATCTTAAGAAAAAAATAAAAGACTCTTTGCACACGTTTACTCTGACCAAGGAGTCAGGCTCATCCTAGGCTCTCGGGAAAGATTAGCCCAATTCTGTTCAGTCTGGGAAGGAAAGACCACAGGTGGGTGACACTGGAAAGAGCCAGCAGGACAACCACGTGGAAACCAGAGCTCACCAGAACTGGCTTTCTTTGGGGGGGGGTGGGGGGCTCTTAAACCCCCAAGACACAGTGGAAGGAAGTCTTGTTTGGGAGTTTCCAGTGGCCTTCCCCTCTACCATTTTACTTTTTTTTTTCAACGTTTATTTATTTTTGGGACAGAGAGAGACAGAGCATGAACGGGGGAGGGGCAGAGAGAGAGGGAGACACAGAATTGGAAACAGGCTCCAGGCTCTGAGCCATCAGCCCAGAGCCCGACGCTGGGCTCGAACTCCACGGACCCGTCGTGAGATCGTGACCTGGCTGAAGTCGACTTTAACCCGACTGGCGTTAATTGCAGAGGTTTCCCCATTTACTTTTTTTTAAGTAGGCTTCACACCCAGCACAAAGTCTAACGCGGGGCTTGAACTCAACGGCCCTGAGGTCAAGAGTCCTGCTCTTAAGTGACAGAGCCACCCAGGTGCCCTACTCCTACCATTTTCCATTAGGATGGGTCTAAATTTTTAAGTCTTCCATTTTGCCATTACTCTTAAATCAGCTCAAATCCCAGGAATTGTCTCCAAGCAGCAAGAGGGGGGATGTAAGAACTGTGTTCTGCCTCTGTTCCAATATGAGTACAAGCTGAAGCAGCGTGGGCTGTCCAGGCCTCGGCAGGTAAGACCACAGGCTTATTTCTCCACTGGGTACTGCAAGCCCCACTGGGCCTCTCCTTCAGAGGCCAACATCCAAACCGAAGCCTGCCAGCTCTGTGCCCTCTCCTCCTGGAAACAAGTAGTAAGACCCATAGGGGACAATGGGCAGGCCAGGGAGAGCCTATTAAAGACATCATCTGGCCACCTCACGGGGAGGCTCTCAAAATAAGCTCCAGGGTCAGCTGTGGGCACAAGACATAGGCAGTCCCCACAGGGACACCCCTGTCCTGAGTGGTCCTGCCTAGATGCTCCTGGTAGAGTAGAACTTAGGGAGTAGAAGAGACCGTAAGACATGCAAGACAGTTGCGTGATAATGGAGTTTTCTAAACTCCCCAAATCACCTGGGGGAGCTTAGTAAGCATGCAGAGTTCAAGAGTCTGATCCTCATCCATCACCGCACTGGCCTCATCTCTTTGCCTTCCAGATGTCACTGCCTAAAGGAATAGAGTGGACTCTTCTCTGGGCTGATAGTCTTCTGTGGGTGCTTTCTCAGGTCCAAGAGGAAGTTTCTGAGTTTCTTTCAGCATGATCTTTCCCCTCCTCTCCTGTTTCTTTTGGGAACAGTGCGAAAGGGCATGTGAGTTCTCATTAGGGAAGGAAACTATACTCACCAGGGGCAGTGATGCCTAAGACCCCCAGGTTTCCCAGCTGCTTCCAAAACTCCTGCCAACAGAAAGGAGTGCAGTGAGCTGTGAGAAGGCAGCCAGTCTCAGGTGTCTGGCACATCTGGAATGAGACCCAGACGCTTCACAGAAAGGGGCTGCATTCTTTGGGAGCACATTTACCACAAGACTGTGTGAGCTCTTCCAGGTAGCAGTTCGATTCCCAGCCCAGACTAGCCCAGCCCCCAAGCTGCCCCCTTGTCGCTCTGCACCTCCCCACCCCCACCCTCTGGCGTGGGCATCATGACTCACTCGAAGGTTCTTGAACTCATTGCTCTGATCAATCTCCTGGGCCTGGGGGGCCAGGTGCTCCTGAAGAAACTTAGCCATGGTCTGACGAAGCTAGAGGGAAAGAGGTGGACAGATGACACTGAAACACTACACTATTGCCACTAAGAACAGCATCTTCACTACCGAGGACACATTCAGGAAAACAGGCTACAAACAACCCACCAAACAGCATCAGATTGAAACTTAGAGGGCATACTAGTTTATACTTTCCCAGAGATGATCTTTATGTCTTTTAAGGTCCTCAGCTTAGACAGCTTATTTTTTTAAACACTTAAAAAATAATTTTTTTAATGTTTATGTATTTTTGAGAGAGAGAGAGAGAGAGAGCAAGTGGGGGAGAGGCAGAGAGAGAGGGAGACACAGAATCCAAAGCAGGCTGTGGGCTCTGAGCTGTCAACACAGAGCCCGACATGGGCCTTGAACTCACCAACTGTGAGATCACAACCTGAGCAGAAGTCGGATGCTTAACCAACTGAGCCACCCAGGTGACCCCGACAGCTTGAGTATTTTTAAAATGTCACTCCCCTAAATAAGATCATTCCATGCCTTTTCATTATACCTAGAAGGCTCTTTACTCAGGCCTATTAAGGCCCTGCATGAGCTGACCCCTCCTGACTCTTCCAGCCTTCTCCAGTACCTTCCTCACCCCCACTCACTGTGCTCCAGCCCACCCTCTTCAGTTTCTGGCACATGCCAGGCTTTCTGCCCCTGAGCCTTTGACAAAAGGATACCCAAACAGATTAGAAACTATTGGCAGAAACGTTTGAGAGCCAGGATTGAACCCCTTCCTGACTGAGGTGATTCAAAGCTCTGTCTACTGACTGCAAACCCAAACGGATGCTGGCGTTTCTGGAAGCTCAGGCACTTGCTTAACAGGAGAATCAGGTTCCTGGGGAATTCTGTGCCAGCATCCAAATAAAGTCACCTTCCTCCAGGAAGGCTCTAGTTCAGCTCCCTCTGTAAGGACCTTTCAAGTTACAGTTTGGTGTTGTGCTCTGACCCGGTAGGCTGAAGAATTACAGCAGATGACACTCTGCATTTCAAAGCCCCTAAGGTGTGTATTGGACAAAGATTCCCTGGTGATGACGATTAACGAGGCTTGAGAACCACAGTCTTCAGGCAGTGTTCAGATGTAAGTGGACTTTAGACAGATTAAGGATCTTTCCGTCACACTCAGCGGCTCTGCCAATCCTCCGCCAAAACACCATCAGTCTCCCAGCAGCCTTCCTGTCTCTGACTCCTTATCTAACTCGAAAGCTAGGCTTTGCTGCCTCCACAGAAGTGAGGTTGAGACCAGCGCCCGCTCTCGCGCTCCCACTGCCGCAGCGGGGTGGGCGCCGGGCAGAGGAACGTCGAGGCGACCACGGAGCAGGGCGATGCGGCCGGGCCAGCAGGCCTTGGGGCCCGGAAGGGGATCGGGCTCCCTACCTGCTTCTGCTCCTCGCTTAGCCCGTTGATCGCATCGTCCACGGGCAAGAGGGAGTGGGCCCGCTGTGACACGACGCTGGCGAGCGGCGCCAGCGGAGTCCGCAGCCTCCAATTCGCGACGCGCCGACCCAGAAGCCAAGCTGCGGTCGCCATCTCGCCCTTGCACTGGAAGCCGAGGCAGAGCGCCAGAGGCAGGGGCGCGGAGCCCGCCCCGCAGGCTCCACCAATCCCGGGCTTCGCTGCCCCCGCCCAATCGGCGAGGGGTGGGTCTCCAGCAGCCTATCACCCTCTGCTGCCGGCTGGAACGCCAAGCTGGCCTTGGCCACCACACGAGCCAATCAGCGGTGACCGCCCGCCTAACTACACCGTGGTGGGGTTGGTAGCGGGGGCGCTGGACCCGCTATAATGAAGTCATTCCTAGGTTGGGACTTTTTTTTAGAAGAGCAAGAAAGGCGTTTTCTGAGTGGAGTAGTACCTCACTACTCCGCGTTGAAGTAGCAGTCTGTAGTTCCTCTGCAGGAAAGGAAGTGTTAAAACAGCCTGGGATGCCCAATGCTTGGAAACAAATCGTTAAAGCCATGGGATGGCTAAGAAGTGTTGGCTCCAGTGTGCACGCTGTTAGAAGTCAGTAAATGTTGTTTTATTACGTCACAGGGTTTTTCGATTTTGGAGTTTCGTGGGAAAGAGTTGCTGTCTTCTAAATTATTTAAGAACAGCAATTGGGGGCACCTGTGTGGCTTAGTCCGTTAAGCGTGGGACTCTGGATTTTGGCTCAGGTCATGAAATCATGGTTTGTGAGTTGAGCCCTGCTTTGAGCTTTGTGCTGGAAGTGCGGAGCCTGCTTGAGATTCTTTCTCTCTTTCCCTCTCTCTGTGCCCCTCCCCGGCTCACACACACACTCTCTTTCTCTCAAAAGAAAGGAAACAACAACAACAAAAAACAAAAAACAAAAAACCCAGCAATCAGGACTTTTTAAAACCAGGGTTGGGGGTGAGGATACAGAAAAGGAAGAGTAGTGTATTACAAGTATTAAAAAGAAAACCCAAAGCCATAGTGGAGCCACTTAAGACTCTAAGTCACTAAACCATGACTGCCTAAACTAGGCAGTTTCACCTCCCCAAGAATGTAACCTTTAACCACCCAATCATGGGAACTTCCTAGTGTTGAAAATCCTAGTGTTGAAATTTTCTAGATAATTGATAGGCCCCTTGTTTTCCCCTTAGGATAGACCTTTCCTGAAACAATCGTTCTTTGCTAATAATTTCCTTTTCCTATTCCATTGCTACTTTAAAAAACCTTTCCTTTTCTTTAATTATTTAAAAAATTTTGTTTATTTATTTATTTTGTTTGTTTTTGAAAGAGACAGAATGCAAGCAGGGGAGAAGCAGAGAGAGGGAGACACAGAATCCCACCAGGCTCTGAGCGGTCAGCACGGATCCCGATGCGGAGCTCAAACTTGTGAACTGTGAGATATGACCTGAGCAAAAGTCGGAGGCTTTAACTGAGCCACACAGGTACCCCAAATCTTTTCCTTTTCTACAACTCCATGGAGCTCCTTTCTATTTGCTAGATGGGATACTGCCCTTGTCATGAAACATTTAATAAAGCCAATTAGATCTTTAAAATGTACTCAGTTGAATTTTTGTTATTTAACAGTTCATCTTCAAGTAGTTCAGCACCCTGAGTTCTGGGATGAAGATGAAATGAAATGAAAACAATACCACCTTTCGTGAAAATGAAAATACCACCAATACCACCACTGCAAGGCTGTTGGGAGTGTTGACAAGGAAGCCATAGGCCCAAGGTGGAGTCACTTGCCCCAGGACAGCAGATCAAGACTTAATCGCAGTTTCAATTTCTCCAGGAGTAGAATTCTTTCTTTTTTTCCTTTTTCTTTTTTTTTGAGAGAGAGAAATGGTGTGTACGCGCATGCACACGATTCAGAGGGGCAGAAAGAGAATCCCTAGCAGGCTCCAGGCCGATGTTAAAAATTTTTAATCTTTAAAACAACAACAACAACAACAACAACAACAACAACAAAAATGGGGTGCTGGGTGACCCAGTCAGTTAAGCATCCAACTTTGGCTCAGGTCATGATCTTGTGGTTGGTGGGTTTGAGCCCCGCTTTGGGCTCTATACTGTGACAGGTGGAGTCTGGAGCCTGCTTTGGGTTCTGCATCTCCCTCTCTGCTCCTCCCCTGCTCACACTGTCTTTCTCTCTCATTCAAAAATAAACATTAAAAACCATTATTTTCTAGTAATCTCCACACCCAACACGGGGCTTGACCTCATAACCCAGAGACCAAGAGTCATGTGCTTTACCAACTGAGCCAGCCAGGTGTCCCAAATATAAAATCTTAAAAAAGAAAAGAAAAGAAAAGAAATTTGCCTGTGAACAGAAGATGGACAGTAGCCCGAAGGGATGAAAGTTGGGAGTGTCTATTGGAGAGGAAGTTGAATATCTGAGGGTTACAAAGGCATGGTAAAAGCGTGAACCAAGGATAGAGACTGAGAGCCAGCACTATAGTGGAAGTTGAGAGCAAGATTATTAAGGGAATCATTTGAAGATAAATTTTGAACTTTGATATAATCTTTGTTAGGTTAGGTGTGGGAAATACAATCCAGCAAGACAGGTATTATCTCTACTGATAAGAGATGAGACTAAGACAGTCAGAGAAAGACAGATACCACGTGTTTTCACTCATATGTGGATCTTGAAAAACTTAACAGACCATGGGGGAGGGGAAGGGGAAAAAAAAGTTACAGAGAAGAAGGGAGGCAAATCATAAGAGACTCTCGGATACTGAGAACAAACTGAGGGTTGATGGGGGGTGGGGAAGAGGGGAAAGTGGGTGATGGGCACTGAGAAGGGCACTTGTTGGGATGAGCACTGGGTGTCGTATGGAAACTAATTTGACAATAAATTATATTGAAAAAAAAAAAGAAACCTGAAAAAAATTTTTTAAAAAATTAAACTTAAAAAAAAAAAAAAAAAGAAATGAGACTAAGAGAAGTAATTTGCAAAGACCACTTTTTAGTGCCTGGGCTGGGATTCCAACACATATCCATCTGGCTAGGGATGGGCTGTAAACTGAAGTTTTCACATCCTTATTTTATAAAGAATTCTTACTGTCACCCCTGCTGAAAACCTCTTAAGTATGTACATTTCTTCCCCCCACAATTTGTGCCATACATTAGAGTTGGCCCCTGAAGAACATGGGTTTGAAATTGCATGGGTCCACTTATATATTGATTTTCAACACAGTATGGTACTGTAAATGTATTTTCTCCTATGACTTTCTTAATAACATTTTCTTTTCTCAACCTTACCTTAAATATACAGTATTGATACATAAAACATACAAAATGGGTGTTGACCAACTATGTTATTGGTTAGGCCAAGAGGTTATTAATAAAGTTTTTGGGGAGTCAAAAGCTCTGTGCAGATTTTCAAGGTGCCTGGCTAGCTCAGGTGGTAGGGCATGTGACTCTTGATCTCAAGCTTGTAAATTTGAGCCCCATGTTGGGCGTAGAGATTACTTAAAATAAATACATCTCACCTAATAAAAATTCTAACATTTTTTTAAAGTGATATAGATTTTCAGCTGCACCCATGGGAGAGGGGTCAGTGTCCTTTACCTCTGCCTTGTTCAAGGGTCATCTGTAATTCGTGTAGCTTTCTTGTGTTTCAAATCTTCCCTTACACCTTTGCTGTCATGGCCCTAACACATTTCATTTCTGTTTTCCTGATGTCCTTGACACTCCTGTCTCAATCCCGCCATCCATCTTTAACACCAATGCTGGATTCATTTTTCTAAAATAGTACGATGACTGCCTGCTGAAAATTTCTCAGGGATTCATTATTGCCTAGATCTGTGGTTTCCAGAATGTGAGCCAAGGTACCCATGGGCAGCAAACTCAGAGGGATACCATGGATATTTTAAGCTTTGGGGTGAATCACAGTGATACTTGACATCTATTAGAAAATATAGTTACTACTAGCTTGAAGTAGGTCAGTTTCAACATTAGGTCATTTAGGTTCCTTTCAATGTCAAACAGGGAAAGAAGGTGGTAGTGTCCAACTTGATTCCACGGTTTGAGAAGTTAAGCAGTGCCTAACGTTCTGGTGAGAGAAAAAGCTTTTCTAAAAGCCTGAAACATAAGGAAAGACATTTTAGATTTATAAATCAGCATGTACATAAACTTCATATAAACCTTCATATAAGCCTGATTTATGGCCAGCCAAGCATACATTGTACATCTGAAGCCCTAAAGGAAAAATATCTTGTTCTTAAGATATCAATTAATACTCCTACTCTCTGTGCTCCTTGACAGTAAACTCATTAAACTCATAAAATTCATGATTCATACCTGTATGTTAAGCTATTATCTTTTGAGCTTTTACAAAATGTAAAAAAAAATTTAACAACGCAAAAACTGTTCAATGTAAAAACTGTTCATTCTCTGGAACACCTTCCCTGTGAAAAGCATGATGTCTGGGCAGCTGTTCTTACTTGGGCTCTAATAAAACTCCTTGCTTTTAGAGATTCTTAAAAGTTTGTTCATTTTGCATAGATGATTGCATTAGTGAGTAATTATAGTTAGTTAAAAATGAAACACAGGGCACCTGGCTGGCTCAGTGAGAAGAGCAGGTGACTCTTGCTCCTGGGGTCACGAATTCAAGCCCCACATTGGGTGTAGAGATTGCTTAAGTAAATAAATAAATAACTAAAAAAAGCAATGAAATTTTTCTCTTAGATTTATGTACATTATTTTTTCAAATATCTACTAAATTGATGGATCTCACTACTTAAAATAGAACCATTAGGTATTTCTTCAGGTGTCATAAATATTACTAAGACACTAGGGAAAGTTTGGAAACTTCTAGCCTAGATGACAAAAATCCACCTCTTAGCCTGGCATTTAAGGATCTTCATGACTTCTACTAACACCATGTACGTCCCTGCCCCCACTATTCCCTGGCTCAAATCTTTCTCCAGTATTTGCTTGCTGTTTGACCTTGGGCAAACCAACCTAACTTCTCGGTGCCTATTTCCCTGGCTGTAAAAGGAGGTAATAGTGTTTACCTTGTGATGGTAATGAAGACTACCTAAGAAGTACGATAAGGAGGAACATGTAAAAACACCATGGATGGCATATTACAAGTGCTCACTTAAGTGTCAGACATAATCCCCTCTCATCTTGAACCCTCTGAACAAGCCTAGTTTCCCATACTCATTTCTCCAAGATTCATCTGGACATTTCATGACTCCTTCCCCCTGAAGTTCCAATGATACCCCCTCCCCAGGTTTAATTTGCTAGAGCAGCTCACAGACTCAGAGAAACATTTTATTTACTAGATGATTGGGTTACCACACAAGGCTGGAACTCAGGAACAGCCAGGCAGAAGAGATGCATAGGGCATAGGGCAAAGAGTGGGGAAAGGAAGTGAGGCTCCCATGGCCTAAGCTTGCTACTCTCCCCAGACCTCCACGTGTTCACCAACCTGGAAGGTCCTTAACTTCCTAGCTAGCCTCTCCAAATGTTACTCTTCCTTCAATCTTTGTTCTACCTCCTCCATCAAGCCTTCTTCCACCAAATTAGCCCAGGGTTAACTATTAGAATACACAACTCTATCACACAACCCTGTTAGTAAAGTATTGCTGCTTGTTATTTAACTTACATGTCACCAGCACGTTGTCTAACCAAATAGATTACAAGCATCTTTGAGGTTAAGAATGCCATGCTGTGTTAAAGTTTCCTATAGCATCCAGCAAAGTGGAGGGTACAGATCACTATTTGCTGAGTTAATATAACATATATGAATTCATCCAGGCTCCAGATCAGATTAAACACCCAGAACACCTCCACATGTACAAAAGGCAGATGGAGCAGAAGTTGGAGGGAACGGGCAAAGGCAAGAGTGCAGAAACGCCATTTGGGAGTGCAAAGAACAGTGAGGTGAAGGCCCCTTGGGAGCCCAAGCTACGAGTAAATGGGGTTTCTGTGCTGGGAAAGATGAGTAACAGCCACTGAGTTACATTCCTAGGTGTTAACTAGGGAGGCCCGACAAGGAGGTAAGGATCCCACAGCTGAGTTTCCCCTCCTCTCCTTCCAAGAAGTAGAACTTTTTTTTTTTGGCCAGAAATGCCAATTTCAAATTATTTGGATAAACAATCTTTTAAACTGTCAACATTTTGAAAATGGGTAGAATATTCAGTCCTTATCACTGGTGAGAATTATGTAACTGGGTTTCCCCTTCATAATTTTTGGGACATAACCAACTGTGTGAATGTTTTTGTATGAAGGCAAAGAAATTTAGCCATCCCTGAAAGTCAGGGTGGAGGTGTTACTTGCTCTGATTGGGTGGCAGACTCAATGCTCAAGAGTAGATGGGAGTTTGGTGAAGAAATTGGGAGATGCAGGAAAAAAATGGAAGATAGCCGGGAGGTGTGGGCGGCTTAGTTGGTTAAGTGTTCGGCTTCATTCAGGTCATGATCTCATGGTTCATGGGTTCGAGCCCCGCATAGGACTCTGTGCTAACAGCTCAGAGCCTGGAGCCTGCTTCAATTCTTGCTCTCCCTCTCTCTGTCTGTCCCTCCCCTACTCACGCTCTATTTCAAAAATGAAATTAACATTAAAAAAAAGTGGGGCGCCTGGGTGGCGCAGTCGGTTAAGCGTCCGACTTCAGCCAGGTCGCGATCTCGCGGTCCGTGAGTTCGAGCCCCGCGTCGGGCTCTGGGCTGATGGCTCGGAGCCTGGAGCCTGTTTCCGATTCTGTGTCTCCCTCTCTCTCTGCCCCTCCCCCGTTCATGCTCTGTCTCTCTCTGTCCCAAAAATAAATAAACGTTGAAAAAAAAAAAAAAGTAAATACACATTAAAAAAAAAAAAAAAAAAAAAAAAAAAAAAGGAAGACAGCCAAAGCCAAAGTCTGCCTCGATCAACTAAGAAATGAAAATAGCTGTGCCTTTAGTAAACCAGCAGGGAAGCCTGCCACAGACTTCAGCTGATTAAAGATCCACGGGGCCAGGTCCAGGACTGGCTGTGCAAACAGCAGTCCGTGACCGTGCTTAAGAATATAGGGAAGACACAGGCAGCTAGTGACACGTGCCTGGTGGATGGAGTCTGGCACCCACTGCTCTAAAAGGGCACACCCGCAGAAGGCTACTGCTCCTGGAAGACGGCAGGGCTAGCCACAGGGCACTTAAGTAGAAGAAAAATATTCTGGGTTAAATCAGTGTCTTGACTGTGTTAACTAGATTAGCTCAAGAGTGTTCAGTGGACACACTTAAGTTAAAAGGCTATTTCCATTTCTCAGTGTGTAGTCCGGACAGTTATAGAATTATTTATTTTAAAAGTAGCACTTCGTAAAAATCACCAAAACCAAACCCAAAAAACGGAAGTGATTTAGATTAAAAGCTCCAAGGTGTACGGTTTCTTCACCCCCATTTATTAAGCCATCTTAAGTAACTTCAAGTTCATTGATTTACAATGAGGTATAGAGCCCAACCGGGATGAGACAGAATGTGTTCCAAGTTAGAAAGTCTAGCATGGCTTCTCAGTGAGGTCTCCTGTGGAGCATCTGTGCTCCGCTGTACAATTAAGGCTTTCTTCCTACACATCTGAATGTTACCTTTGGGATCCTCTGACTATGACTGATTTGGTCTGATTCTAATGGCTTGCCGCTTTGTTGCGTAGAAGGTTGATCCAAGCTTCCAGGCACCCCCTCTTCGTAGGCCTCAGTTATGTACATGTGAGGTTCAGGAGAGCCGACCAATCTGAAAGGCTGGGAACACTTGTTTAAGGAGGAACCGCCATTCCGGCATCAACTGTCCTTAATCCTACTGCAGAAACTGTTTTCATTCTGGGGATGGTGAGTCCTAGAAGGTCATGGCCAAGAAGCAGATGTCCTAAGTGGCTTCCTCTGAGAGTTTAACCCCAAGAGGGAGCCGGCTGGTCACTTGCTTTTTATCACATTTCCAATAGCTGCTCCATTTCCTCAAGGGCTGTTGTAAAATCATGCACTTGACTGTTACATAATGTCTGCTGCTCTAGGAACCGGGCCCGCTCTTCTTCTTTCATCTTCAACTTTACTTTTAAGGCCTGCATGGAAAGACATTCAAAAAGAAACAAACAAAACAAACACCCACAAAACTTTGATTCACATGGGAGACAATACCATCTCAGGACATGATACTTCTCTTCCATTGAGGAAGACCATTAGAATACTGACAGACATTGTATTTTCTACCTTAAATTTGTACATCTGTGCTCATTTTAGGGATGGTCTCTCTCCTATATCTAAAGTGGAGCCACGAAATCCTCTAGGTTCCAGTGTACTATCCCATGATTCTTCCAACCAATCCAAAGAAGTCCAGACCCAAGAATCTGGGTTTCCTATTCCAGGTTTCCTTGAGATAACCAAGTTTCCAGAGCACAGTTTGCACAGGCCCACCTCTTACTTTGAGCCATCTAGTGTTTGCACATCGCCTCAAGCCCTGTAGCTGTGAACATTTCTGCATCTTTAGAAGAGAAAATTGGTTGAAAAAAAGTGGTGAAAACAAATGAAGTCTCAGAATTTAGTTAAGAGTAACACATCAATGTTGGTTTTTTAATGTTGATAAATGTACTATGATAATATATGGTGTTAACATTAAGGGAATGGAATTCTCTGTGTTATCTTTGCAACTCTTCGGTAAATCCATTATCATTAAAAAGTGGTTTGTTAAAGATAAATAAATAGGTAAATAAGAAAGAGTCCTCCACAGATCCACCTACTGTGGTAGGAAATGGTAATCCTGACTCAGGGTGACATCTGTCTCTCACCTGTAACTCCTCCATCTGTTTTTTGGCTGTTTCATTAAAAAGCTTCAGCTCATCTTGCAAAGTTTCCAGTAGCAACTAAAAGGAAAGTACAGTGTGATAACAAATCTTTATTGATAGGTGAAAACTTGCTTTATATAAACTAATCTCTTTATATAAAATGAAAGTTGGCTAGATGATTGCTAACAAGCCTTCCCTTAGCTCAGTCATCTATTGAGTGTCCCACTTGTGGCAGGCTCTCTAGTGGGCACCCCGGAGGAACTCCCACAGGATGGACAGATCACCCCACTTCCAGGTGCTCTATGTTACACAGCCAATGGGGTCAAAACACAGTAGCCACCGGAGAGGTGACTACTAGCCTGTGGGACTGGAGGAAGGCTTCCATCTTGAGTATTCTATTATTCTAATATGACCACTGATCTTCCTGGTGAAGAAGTCAGAGAAGCTCAAAAGACTTAACCCTGAACAACTACCTTCCTACTTTACGAGAGAACCAAAGAGAAGCCGAATTTAATTCAGGCTGCACCTTTCCATCATACAGTTCTCAGTAAATGGGTAAGGGGAGAAATTTGGTAAAGTGGAGAACAGAGAAACCAGAAAGCTCTCTCTACAGGTTCATCCTATTATGTGTCTCAAAGTAGCATATTTTCAACTCAGACCCACTCATATCTGTAAGCACAAAATTGCCTTCCAGTAAAATATGCTTTTCGAGTACATATCCACGGCTCTCTTCCACTATCATGGAAAACAAAGGCTGCTTCCTCGGGTTTGCTGGGCACATGGCAGAGACTTTCTTAGCTGTGCAGAGACCCGTGGTCCCTTGGCCCCCAAATACTCACACCCATGCCCTCACCATAGAGTCCGTGTGATCTGTGGTGGCTTCTTGCCGTGACGCCAGGGTCTCACTGCCTAAAACTGATACAAACAACAGAGTCAGCTTGCTTAGGGAACTGCACCTTAAACAGAAATAAAAACCCCTCCACGGACAAGTATAGGAATACTCATGAGGGAAACTTCTCTGAGTGTCTGGTCCCTGACTGTCTCCTGAGTTTTCACCTTGGCAGGGTCACCTACACCCACCCTCCGAGCTTTACTTTACCTCCCTCTGTTCTAGTTTTGGATATGGTCAAAAGTTTAATCTGCTTTCTCTTCAGCTCAGCAGAAAATCTGTCTAGAGAAAATGCAAAGGTTGTATTTTTCTGTTTCATTGACAATACAAAAAACTATTTTTAAAAGCTTTTCAGGCTTTCTGCCTGTAGATGCTGCCTTTAAGCATCCTTAAAGTCTCCCCTCCCACCGCTGTCATGTCTAAGTCAGAGTATCCCAAAGAGCCTAAAAAGCCACAGAAGGTTTTCATCAGAGGTTTGAGCTTTGAGACAATGGATGAGTCTGAGGAGCCATTCTGAGCAATGGGGAATGCTCACGGACTGTGTGGCAACGACAGACCCAAACACCAAGCACTCCAGAGGCTTTGGGTTTGTCACGTAGGCCACTGTGGAAGAGACAGATGCAGCCATGACTGCAAGGCCACACAAGGTGGATGGAAGAGTAGTAGAACCAAAGAGGGCTATCTCGAGAGAAGCTTCTCAAACACCTGGTCCCCACTTAACTGTGAAAAAGATTTTTGTCGGTGGCATTAAAGAAGACACTGAAGAACATCATCTAAGAGATTATTTTGAACAGTACGGGAAAACTGAAGTGATTGAAATCATGACTGGCCGAGGCAGTGGCAAAAAGAGAGGCTTTGCTTTTGTAACGTTTGATGACCATGACCCTGTAGACAAGATAGTCATTCAAAATATACTATACTGTGAATGGCCACAACCGTAAAGTAAGGAAAGTTTCATCTAAGTAAGAGATGGCTAGTGCTTCCTCCAGTCAAAGAGGTCGAAGTGGTTCTGGAAACTTCGGTGGTGGTCGTGGAGGTGTTTTTGGTGGGAATGACAACTTTGGCCGTGGAGGAAACTTCAGTGGGTGAGGTGGCTTTGGTGGCAGTCGAGGTGATGGCGGGTGGTGGCAGTGGGGATGGCTATAACGGATTTGGTATCGATGGAAGCAACTTTGGAGGTGGCGGAAGCTATAATGATTTTGGCAATTACAACAGTCAGTCTTCAAATTCTGGAGACAGAAGTTCTGGCCCCTATGGTGGTGGAGGCCAATACTTTGCCAAACCACAAAACCAAAGTGGCTATGATGGTTCCAGCAACAGCAGTAGCTATGGCAGTGGCAGAAGGTTTTAATTACTGCCAGGAAACAAAGCTTAGCAGGAGGGGAGAGCCACAGAAGTGACAGGGAAGCTACAGGTTACAACAGATTTGTGAACTCAGCCAAGCACAGTGGTGGCAGGGCCTAGCTGCTACAAAGAAGACATTTATTAGACAATACTCGTGTGTATGGACAAAAACTCGAGGATTGTATTTGTGACTAATTGTTTAACATAGGTGATTTTAGTTTTTGTTCTGTGGAAAGTGTAAAGCATTCCAACAAAGGGTTTTAATGTAGATTTTTTTTTTGCACCCATGCTGTTGATTGCTAAATGTAATAGTCTGATCACGACGCTGAATAAATGTGTCTTTTTTTTAAAAAAAAAAATCTTTTCAGGCTTAATAAATTATTATTTTCGGTAAAAGTAGTGCATATATATCACAAATTAAAATTATACAAAAACATATACGGTGACTATAAAGAATATATACTAAAATGCACAGGTTAATCAGCAGCATTCAAAGCCAGTGTCCCTGAATTCAAAGAAGCCTGGGCCCCTTTACCTGGTATTCTCAGGCTCCTCAACTCAGTATGAGTACAGTCTTTCGGCAATTCCTTTTTCTATGCCCCTCTTTGCTATAGACTCTGCTTTCTAGGGACAGGGTCAGAATAGAAATCACATTTAAGGGGCACCCGGGTGGTTCAGTGGGTTAAGTGTCCAACTTCAGCTTGGGTCATGATCTCACAGTTCTTGAGTTCGAGCCCCACGTCAGGCTCTGTGCTGACTGCTCACAGCCTGGCTCTTGCTTGGGGTTCTGTGTCTCCCTCTCTCTCTGCCCCTCCCCCACTCATGTGCTGTCTGCCTGTCTTTCTCTCTTTCGAAAATAAACAAATATTAAAAAAAAAAAAAAGTCACATTTAACTATTGTGATTCTGCTGATCAGCCAGGTTTAGGAACTCTTGAAATAGTGTCACCTCTATCTTTTCCCATCTGGGAAATTTACCCTGTTTGCTATCTGCCTTGAAAGAAATGTGGGGCACCTGGGTGGCTCAGCTGGTTAGCATCCGACTTCAGCTCAGGTCATGATCTCTCATGTTCGTGAGTTCAAGCCCACGTCGGGCTCTGTGCTGACAGCTCAGAGCCTAGAGCCTAATTTGGATTCTGTGTCTCCCCCTCTCTCTGCCCCTCACCTGCTTGAGCTGTGTGTGTGTTTCTCTCTCAAAAATAAACGTAAAAAAAAAGTTTTTAAATTAAAAAAAAGAAAGAAATGAAATATTTCTGATCTATTTGCAAGGTCATACTTGTTAGCATCAAATGAATGGCACAAAGTGTTCAGATAAGAGATAATCCTCTCTCTACAACTATCTGAAATTCTGTTGGTTTAAGTCAACATCACAAGGGAACAAAGGAAAGCTCCTCCAGGGGTGCCTGGCTGGCTCAGTCGGTAGAGGATATGACTCTTGATGTCTGGGTTATAAGCTCAAGCCACACATTGGGTGTAGAGATGACTTAAAAACAAAAAGAAAAAAATCTTTAAAAAAAGAAAGAAAAACTCCTCCAAATCTTCAGGGTTTTGCTAAGCAACCCCTGCACTAAATGGACCAGCTGATGCCATGCCGAACTCCTGACAGCCAGTCCACAATCAGACCAGGAGGCGGCAGGTGCACTGACTCCTCTGAAGGCAACTGTGTACCGTCTCTTACCTGGGTTGAGGCCCTTGCTCTCCAAAATTGCCAAACAGTTATCCTGAAACTTCTCCAGCAGCTCCACCTTTTGGGTCAGGTCCTTCAGTTCTCCCTATCAGGGTGCCATGCAGACAGATGAGGCCTGTTCCACTCTGCGGGGGTGGTTTTGCTGCCCTTACTCTTGGACAGCCACAGCCCAAGCCCGGTGTCTTCCCCTTCTGCCCTTGGGCACCTGGGCATCGCAAGCTTGCTCCCACCCAAGGGGCCGTCCCTCGGGATTCCATGCATTCCCCAGTGCAGTGATGACAGAGGTCTGGTGGGTCTCTCACCTGAGTTTCAGTCAACTTCTGGTGCAGCTGCCTGTTGACGGCCTCTAAGAGCTGGTTCTTATCCTTGAGCTCTTCCTCTGATTTCTGCTTGCTCAGTGGCTTGTAGCTGTAATGATAATTGTGCTTGTATGAAGCAGTGGAGGGGTTAAAATGGGTTACAGGGTCACACAAACAGGAGTTCGAATCTTGGCTGCATTATCTAATAGTTTATGACCTTCAGTAAGCTACATAACCTCTCTGAGGCTTGGTTTCCTCATTTCTAGAATTAGGGTAATACCCACATCTCATAACATTATTGTGAAAAATGAGAGAGAATACATGTAATAATTCTTAGCACAGCTACAGATACACAGTAAATACCTAATAAATATTAGCCATTATGATCAATATTAACCTCTCTTTCCGATGCCCTCAGAGTCCTTCTTGAATAGTATTTTATCTTCATAATTTTTTTAAGGTTTTATTATTTACTTTTTTTTTTTTT